GCACGGAAAAATGAGATCTATCTGTTTTATACAACAAACAATTAGATTTGACGTAATCCGTGTATCTATATTTTGATAACACACGAAAGCCAACCAATCAAAACGTCTGATTTTACTGAAAAGTTGTATAATACATGTTATTTTCATTGCTCTAAATACCTCTAATTGGAGGCGTGAGTTAGAGTAAACACATCTTTTATCCTCGGGATTGTAATGCTCAGCCAATAACATATGCAAGCGCTGCAACTCAGCATATTTAAGCCCGTGAACACTCAAATTCAGAGCTTCTATCGACATATAGGGGGCGAATACGTTTCAAACACATCCACCTCCCCTTCKGCAACGTATATACATCAGCACATTTCGACATCCTTCGCAGTACGCTCTTAGCTCTGGGCTGCTCGATTTTAACGACGCCTACAATCTTGGACATAAATGTWGACAATAGTCAACTTTAGATATTTTGGTTCGATGACTATGTACAAAAGAACGCACACGAGGCTCCGGGGAAACAATGGATAATCTTGATTTATTGTTTTATTTCCCCGGAGCCTCSTCTGCAATTCTTTTGTGCATGGTCACTGAACCAAAATATCTAAAGTCGACTATTTATCGCGCGCACGACTTTGCTCACACTACTCGTGGATAAAAGCATTCCCGTGTCCCCCCTCCCCCCAATACAATGTTGTGTGGCTGTTTTTTCATACTCTGACCATTCATGAACCCGTACCAACAACATTGCAGTGGGAGGGAGGGGAGGGTGGGGAAAAATAAGCATGACTTACAAGAGATACCGCATTTCTGGTACCAAAGTGAAAAATTATCAACTATTTATGTCCACGATTGTAGCTATGAGCGGTTGTATAGCAATGAAAATGGTTTTCAAAAATAACTGATTTCTTTCTTTGTTTGGTGACATTTTAGAGCAGACCACAGTAGTGCATATATAGGCACGTTTACACTTTCAATCTTTGAAGCGCGATTGTAGCGCGACAATCGCCTTAGATTTGAACATGTTTGAAATTTAGCTGCAACTCGCGGCGATTTTTGAACGCGAGAGCAATGTGGCGATTGTCGCGCGACAATCGCGCTGCAAAGATTGCAAGTATAAACGGGCCTTATGGKAGCATTTTCACAGGAAATCGTCTGCAATAGCATCAGCGCCACTGTCTATAATGGCATCATAAAGTTCTTCCATTGTCCAATGTCCACAATTCCTGTCCAATATTTCCAGGACACAGTTTGGTATTCTCTCTTTTATATAGGCAATCTGGTGCGCTGTTAAACCTACTTTCTCCTTGGCAAAAGTTCCCCACACCATTTCTTTAGCTGAAGAAAGAAAAAGAAAAAAAGCTACTTTTCATGCTTTATGTCCATCAAAGTTTGTGAGTGCAAAATAATTAACTTGCTACTGCATTCAATAATTCTATTTTATCTCAGCTTTCCTCCTAAATTTTAACATTTTGATTTACTTTCACTGRACCATTCTCAGTTCTCTCACCTGTCAATGCTTCCGATAAAAGTGTTTTTGTCTTAGAATCCATGTCACGTACTTTAACATCATATCCAATTTTCAAAGGTCCTGAAAACACATACAAACAATTGTAATATTACAGTCTTAAGGTGTTCCTCTGATTATAGGCAGTAATATAGAAGGTATCATATAGAATATAGAGGAAGGCAATAACAGCAGGTCATATAGTGAATAGAGGTAGGCAAAGGCTAGTAGGGAAAACATATTAGCTTTAGCCCACCAAAATGAGCACAAATTATCTAATTTAATCTAAATTCAAAGGTTATACTCCATCCATATCAGTGAAAATAATTGAATTTTCATCAAAATCTACTGGAGCTTATGGCAATTTTGCCAAAGGCTAATATACCCCATCCAAACTAGTGAAAACATTGAATTTCTATCAAAATCCAAAGACTATACCCCATCCAAATCAATGAAAATCATCAAATTTTCATCAAAAATGCAAAAGGCTATACCCCACCTATAAATCAGTGAAAATCATTGAATTTTCATAAAAATACAAAGGCTTTAACCCACCCAAATCCATTGAAAATCTGACTGATATTTGATTGAAATCCAAAAATTCAGAATGTAGAAGACGATTGGCTGTTAGAACAAAGCAGGGACGTGAACAAAGCGACTTGTGAAAAGCCATTCTGATCATGGATGGCACATTAACATAAGAATGAGTTTGTTGATAAACATTGAGCATCGCTATAGGCATAGGGATGGATTGCCATATAATGTAATAAATACAGTTTGGCACAGCTTGGGGTTTTGATTTGATGACGAATATGGTAAAGGAGCTATTGGCAATCATTTCCTTGAGAATACATTTAAAAACATCAACCAACCTGTCATTCCACTGGGCAGCTCTTTTCGTAAAGCTTCCACAAAGACCCGCCCTCCTTTCGCGACCAGCCATCTGCAATTTGTTCTACACTTCTGCACGATTTCTTTGGGTGGAGTGGCTGTGCTATGTTTGTCAAGGTTGAATGTATCAGAGATTCTCTTAGCTGTTCTAGTCACCTCGTCCTGTGAAATCGTCTTCAGGGAGACTTGATTGACAGCAGCAATGACTTCCTGGCACACAGCGTCATCTATGCAAAGAAAATTCTTAAATATTACAAAAAGAGTTGACAGATTTAATATAATTATAATGTATGCTTTCATATTCAATGCTTTTGTTTTTAAACATGTCCAGGATGATTTGTTTTTTAACTTTTATTGTCAACTTTGCCTTCTGGCTGAGCAAACACAACTTCAGAACCCAATAATGAGGACTCAAAGACAGAGAGTTTGGAGAGTGAGTTCGGCCAGGGGAAGAACAGAGCTGACAAGGTGGCTCATGAATGTATTTTCCTTGTCCTTGTAAAGCCTGCTTCAACAAAGCAACATAAACGTAAGCCCATAGTTTTTTGTCCTAAGATTCTAAGATTCACTTGTGAGCAACATAAGCACAAACAAATGTGATTTTGTGCAACAAAATGATTTTTATGATGAAAGGCAATTTACTTCCGGTGCTGTCAGCAAGAGGGTTGGTGATTGGGGTATTTGAGCATACCCCCCTCTACGGTAACACTTATTCCTGCCTTTCGGCAAAAACGTCAGGATTTGTGCCAGTCAAAAATATATATTTAAGGAATAGAAAGCTTCAATTTCTTTTAATGAATTTTTGAATGTTATGCAGCTTGTATGAACCAGGCTAAATTTCAAAATCCAAGAAAAGAGATTTGTACAAGTTTTTTGTCAAGATACCAGAAAAGCAAAATGTTTAAATTAAAGTATTACCTTCTGAACCTAAGCAAAGCCCTTGAAACTCTCTTTGTGCTTCTTTGACTTTAGCAGACTGAAACAAAAACACAGAGAATGATCATATAATATTAAAGCTGCCAGTGAAGAAGTTCAAAGCCTGCAAAGATGTAATGAGATTTTTCAGAATTTCTTTGATATTAAAAAGATTGTTCTTTTTTTTTAGAGCT